ATATATATATATATATATATATATATATATATATATACATATACGGATATATGTATATATATCTGTACAATAACATTACAATAATACCACTTATGATTGCTCGCGAAAATTTCTCTTTATATTGTATATGTGTGTGTATTCCGTTCATCTTTCTTATTTCTCAACGATCGAGAGCAACAGTATGCGACACAATTAATAATTTATTAGTACCCATCGAATAATTTAAATTAGATGTTCGTGTCCAATGTCGATGAACAAAAAAATGAAGAAATAAATTCGATTCACGAGTACGATGTGCTTTCGACAAAATCGTATAATATTCTTGTTGCATTGTTTCTTTCTTAGAAAATTATCATCCTTAAAACAAATCGTCGATCATGTTACGCGCACATGTTCCACAGTAAAGTTCTAGAAAAGGAAGATGGCGGTTCGTATAACAAATATGATATAAATAAATGCATCTATATTGATGGAGCGATATTAGTGAACATTATCAACGTATCATTTGTTAGGCCTTTTCGAATGGATTACACGTCGATCAGAATTCCGATATCTTTGCGATACGAGAAGAAACACACAGAAAGGGACACAGTGACGTGAGAAATGCGAATCCAGAATGTCGTCGACTCTTTTCTAATCGATCGTTATCTAATTTCAAAAGGACGCCTTCGACGATTCGCCGTAACGAAAAATAATTTCTCCCTTCGTTTTTTCGTTTCTCTTCTTCGTATAATTGCACTTTGATCATTGTCCTCGATCTTGCACGCATCACCGGTCGCGAATGTACACAACGAATCACTCTTTTGCGTGGCGCTGCTTTCGTAATTGCGAATAATAATTTTATTTTACGTTTCGTCGAAAGATATATTTATTTATATCAATAAATGTCTATGTTTATTTACGGAAAAAAAAACATGCGTAGAAACGGATAAAAATTCGAAAAATTTACGCTCGATCAAGTAAATATTGGTACAATTTATACCCAACAGATGGCGTCGAAGTTTTGTAACGACGATCAATGTATTATATATTCCGTTCAATGTATCAACATGAATACAATATCTTTCATTTCAATGTGATGTTAACAAATTGGCTATAGTTATCGAAGTTAGCATGAAATTAGCATATAAAAATCGAAAGATGAAATAGCGAAAATTTAAGTAAAAATAAATATCAAACGATTCGTTTCCTCGTAAATTTCCTTTCGTATACAATCTTATCTAAAATTATATATATATAAATATTACGAATTTACAATGATATTCGTGGATCATCAAGAATCCGTTGTTACGCGAAAACACATCGCAGCTCGTGCAACTATTTAATTACAAGAATGTTACCAAGTATATCATATACATATATTCCTTTTTCCTTATTTATGTACATGTATAATTAATTTAATTTGCTTAGCACGATCGAGGAGCATAGGAAACAACAAATACCTTCTCGAAATATATATATATATATATAACGTGGCTCCTAAACGTTCGCTCAGTGATATACATTCATTATACATTGTAACGATACACGATTGTAATATATTGTATTAATATATTGTATGTAATATATATATATATATGTATATGTATATATATATATATATGTATATGTATTATTCCAATGCGGTATTAATATCATTTTTTTTCTTCTTATTTTTTAAGACTATTCAGAGAGAGAGAGAGGGTTTTTCGCGACTTAGGATTTTCATGCAAAATCCTCGAAGCAGTCTACGCTATATCACATCCTATGTCTGAGCACGTTTTTTTTTCTGTTATTAATATTTCATTAGGGATATTAGCTATTAAATATATATATATATATATTTATATGTATAATTTTATACGATATTTTTAATATTTTAACAAGTTAAGAATAAGAAACAAAATGTCGATGATTTCTTAGAAGAGGTAGAGAAACATTGTGTATTCGTTTTTATGTGTATAATAAACTCTATTAATTGCGTCGCGCAATTAATAATTTTGATGCTTAAACTTATTCGGTGTAACGCAGTTTGTATCGCCGATTGGAATAAATTAATCGATGAGATAAAACGAACAATGAATTCGCGTTTTTTTTTTGTTTTTTTTTCCCAGCAGCATGACATTTTCTTTTTTTATTCTTCCATCATATATGCAAATTATGAAATGAAAAACGAATTTTTTACGCAATCTAAATGAATTCTCACCGCGAATTTTCAATCATCGCTTTTGCTTTAATAGAATTTCGTCTAATCGAAACTACCTTTGATCACATTTGTAGGGTTCTGGTAGACTTTCCAGGATATAGATTCACTGGAGACACAAATATGTCAATCTAAAGAAGATAACACATAATCTCTCTCTTTTTTTTTTTTTTTTTTTTTTCCCCTTTAAATATCTATCAGCGAGAAGATCATCGTATTTCGAATGTCCGATATCAACATCAAAAGTGAAACACCAATAAATTGTTTCATATCAAATCTTAAATTTTCAATTCATTCATATCTCATCATATTATCGAGAGTCGAACAATTTTCCCGTGTTTTTTTTTTTCTTTTTTTCTTCTTTTTTTTTTTTTTGGAATTACACTATACAGATCGTTACTCTACTAATTTATGAAAGCACATTTATTTCCCTTTTTTTTCTTCTTTTTTTTTTTTTAACAATAGACTACTTTACGAGGTAAGAATAATATACATATGGAATATAACGAAGCAAATTACACGTGTTACAAATATACAGAACACATTCCCTTGCACACTTGTTTATATATATATATATATATATTTTTTTTTTCTTCGCATAGGCGCCCGATACTCCGTCCTTTTCTTTTCTTTTTCTAATACGTATGTATTATATATATATTTATATCATCTATATCTCGCAAGGCAACATCATCGCTGTTAATCCAATTTCTCGGATCATGCAAAAGAGAGAAAGAGAAAGAGAGAGAGAGGAGAGAGCAAAGAAGATTAAAAAGAAAAGGGAGGGGAAAGAAGAAGAAAAAAAAAGAAAACATAGCTGGTTATAACGCTCAAACATTGTTATCGAGGAACACTCTATCGGAAAACAGTGAGACATCGAATTAGTTTTTTTTTCATTCTCAACCCTGAACAGTCTACCAATCTACGTAGCGCAACTTAAACAAGATTACCCATTAATAATTCATCATGAGTAGTTAAAAGGGCAAATATCTCGCATATATATATATATATATATACGTATATATGTGTGTGTGCATATATATATATGTATATATATAAAAAAAATAGGATTATGAGACAACAAGAGTCTATTTACTTGATCTTGAATGCATCCATCAGCTCGTTCACGGCGGCATTAGCAGCGGCCTGCGTCGCAGCTTGCGTCACCCTCTGCTGAAGACCGCCCCCGCGACTAAACATACACCACGGACACTCAGCTTTTACTACAGATCTCATTTGTTTTTCAATGCCTTAACAATATGTGTATTACTATACAGAGTTCGATTAATATATATATATATCACAATATTTGAATTAATATAATATACATAGTGCACGATACAATGAATTAAAATTAAACCTAACAATATCGTGCATAATCTCGAATAATGTTCTAATAACGTTCTATATATATATATATATATATACATGTGTAATCCTCTCGCATGATTCGAAAAAGCGACAGACGCGTTATTCTACTATGCAATTCATCAAACCAAATTGGCCGAATTTAACGATCAATTACAAAATACAGTGATGTTTGTTTAAAAAAAAGAAAAAAAGAATATTTTCAATGCAGGCACCGACACATCCTTCCCTAATTGAATAATTGACAACATTTTCTTCTTCTTTCTTTTTTTTTTCCTGCTCGAGTATTATAATCATCATCAAACGAATGGAGGAAACGAAAAAGCAATGATATTCATAAAAAGCTTTCAAACGTAACGCTTTGCTGTTGCAATATTACTTGTATCACATATATACTTGCGGTATCATATCCTCTCGTACGAGTTTTTCTTTCTTTTTTTCTTTTTCTACACCGATCGAAAATATTGCGAATGATAATTGCAAGTGTATTCGATTAGTGCGGCCAATTCGTAATTGAAAATGTCATGCTGTTAGTAAACGAATGAATACTTATCCACCACCTGCGATAAAAACTCAAAACCATTTATTTTACAACATTCTTTCTTAATTGTATATACAGGCATCATGTACAATTCCATTGAACTAATTTACAGTGAAACAAACGTTGTTTTATCTATTTTTTTTATTATTACTATTATTTTTCTTTTTTTATTTTCACACGCCGCGAATGAACCATGATTTCTATTAGGTATTATTTCCTTTTCTCACTAATACCGATTAATAATCGTATCGTAGACATTTAAATTCTTAATTAGAGGTGTGTAAACTCGTTACATCGATATTGTTTACAGATTTATTTAGAATGATTCTGAAAACAACAGTGTGCGATATTTCGCAACATTGCTTGGAAATAAAATGAAAAAATGATAAAAAAAAAAAAAATATGGACAATATGAATCTCTTGGTCTTCTTCTTACGAAATAATTGGACCGCGAAATAATTGGATAGATTATTGATATTTGATATAACGCAATAACAATAGAAGATAAAATTTACTCGCAAATTTTTGGAAGCATCTCTTTTTAATCCCTAACTAATATAGATATATTCATAAATGTTTCGCTTAATGTTTTGTATAACTGTTTATATTACACACCTCTAATTGACGATAATAATATTTAATATTTGCAAACAAAACATATAGCATTAGGAAATTGTATCTCGTGTAAAATATACACCGACTAGATGCAATCGATATATATATATATATATGTATATATATATATAAATATATATAATTAATAGCGAATAGGCGAGTTAGTGCGAAGACTTATTGTCGGCGCCTGCAATAGAAAGTGAAGTTAGCACCAAAGCCCCACACAATCACACAAAGCTATGGAGGACAAGCAACTGCGAATTTGTTTTTTTTTTTTTAAATATATTCAGTTAAAATAAAATAAAAAAAAAGAAAATAAAAAAAAGAAAAAAAAAATAGGACCTCCACTTTGTTGTTAAGACACAAGGCACCTTATAATACAAACTGACAGAACGTTGGTGTGCGAAAAATTTGTGTGAGAAACTCGAAAAATACTCGATGATACAGAGTGTTTCAAATTATTTGTTTCAAAGTATTTGTTTTTTTAAATGTTCTCCATATTATTTATACAAAAAATACACTTCTGTTTTAATTAAATAAAAATAAATTTATATGAAATTGTTGGTACTTACGATGGTATAAGAGGAGGAGGTAGGCCAGGTGTAGCACGGGCTGGCGGAGGTCCACCAGGTCCAGGTCGATTTGGAATAGCCGGCGCTGGTCGGCCACCCGTAGGAACTGGAGGTGGAGCTCGAGAACTAGAAAGAGGGGGTGGCTGTGTCACTCCACGTCTTGGTCCACCAGGAGATGGTGGTGATAACCTGTAACAAATTTATACGTAAAATAAATAATAATCATCGTATCGTTGGTGTAACATACAAATGAAAAACATTATTTAAAAACTTGTAATATTTTAATCTATAAATAAATATAAATCTATAAAATTTATAGATTTATTTAATATGATAAAGGTATTAAATCTTACCCAAGACTGTTTCAACGGTGTTCAAGTGTACGAGGCAAAAGCAGGCAGTATAAGATTGAAAGATACCGAATTAGTTAAATGCATAAGCAACAATGAAAATAATAACATAATTGTTACCTTGGATTTTCGCCGGATGCTAACCAATCATTTTTCACAGGTGGTGGGACTGGAGTAGACACTGTTGCCATCGAAACATCTCCAATAATACGAAGTGCTTCTTTACACGCATGATACATGCGTAACATTTCTTCTCTTTTTTGTGCTTCTTCGGGCGATTCTTCCATCATGGAAGCCTACAATATATATATATATATATAAAACATTTATTCTTGAAGTAAATGAGGAATTTTGAATAATATTTAAAAAAAGAATATTAAATGTTATATAAGTGAAAACAAATTAATTAAATTTAGAAATAGATCGTGTATATTTTACCTGATCACCACTTGCATATAGATGTGCCAATAGTTCTGCATTAATGAAATCTTTTGCATTGTTAATAATCAAAAGCATAATTGTCTTTGGAACCAAATCACGAGTTGTTTTTGTAACAATTTTCATATATGAATCTACCAAATTTCTAATAGTCTCCACTTGACGTTCGAGTTGAGGATCCATGGATGATTGAGCTTCTGACCCACCCTATAAGTATAGAAATAATTCATTTCTTGTATTATATTGTTGAAAAGTAATATTTAACGTTAAATTTAATTAACATAATAAAAAAATATATTGCGATACTCGATAAAGTGTTATTGATTTTATGTTCAAATGTTTATTAGCAGAAAATTAACATCTTCTTAAACAACACATATTTTTATTGTATTCATTATTAAAAAAGCAAAGCTAGGTGGAAGTATTACATTTGTGTACAAGTGTTGTGTGTTTTTATGTGAAAAAACTACGAAATTTCTTTCAAATTTACGAACCTCATATCCTTCCTAGTTGATCAGAAGCAAACAAATTTAATTATAATAAATGCAATATTGAATCTGATTAATTTTTGAAGAATAATTTTCATAAATATGCAAACCATATATATAAATAACTATATATTATTTATATTTGTACATTAAGAAAGAATATATTAGATTAAATATATTTTCAAAAAATGTAAAAAAATTAATTTTTTTCAATGCAATCGTTATATTTAATATAAAATCATGAGCATTGCAATGTTAAAATAAAATCTTAACACTATTAATCTTAATAGTATCCTTATTACATCATATTATATGATATTATGTCTGTCACATTATAATTACACACATAATATGAAAATATTTATCAAAAATTTTAAGAATAATCCATTAATAAACTACTTTCGATTTAATGCATCACACCATCACACAGTTAAAAATGTAATATCAAATAAAATATTTTAATTACATTTTTCGTACTAACTGTACCGTTTTTCTCGTACCGTTGTTTTGGTTTATCCTAAAATAAACCAAAATAATCTTTTCTAATAAACAAAATAATAATATAATAATAAATAATAAATAAATTTCTCCTCTAATCAAAATATATAAATTAATGAATTATGTATGCATTATTTATAAATAAGATTTATATAATAGATTGATATATTTTTATCGAGGTTGTATTAAGAATCGGTACACACGTGATACATGCCATTCTTAGAATTAATATCAGCAATACATAGATTTATATGAATAAATTTAAACGTAATGCCAGCTATATATTGTCTTGTATATATATAAATAAAGTAAACATATTATTAAAAGTATTATTAAAACGAATGACATTTAAATGCAATGGATCTAAATATATCATTTTTTAATATATGCAATATATTTAACTAAATGCATATATATATAACATATTTAAGGTATTGTATAATGAGAAACATACCTCTCCTTCACCATTTGCTTGTTCTGTTGATTTTTCAGGATATACACCAGCTCTGAGAAAAGAAGCTTTCCATGAATCAACGTCATCTTGAGTTTCACAACTCAATTCTAGCTGTTTGTAATCTTTATAAACATTTCTGCCTTCTGGATTGAATAAAGCAAACAAATGCCGCCGAGACATAAATCCTTGTTCCAAATCGCGCAATTTCAATCCATCTAAAGGTAGCATATATTTCTTCTCACGTTCCTAAATAAAGAAATAATACATGAAAGTTAAATAAATAACATGTTTTGAACTATGCTATGTTATAATTAAAAGATATTTACTTCTTCATCTTTAAACCATGAAATACTCTCCGACGTTAAAACGAACCAATAATCTCTTGAGCCACCTTTCATTATACCAAGATTATGGATACACATGTATCCTTTACGTATTACTTGATTGCCTAATGTATGACGACCAGATTTAACAGCATTTTCTGAAGATTGTTGTGCACTGCAACATAAGGTATAATTTATAATGAAATGTCAAATAGAAAAAAATATTTAGGTACCTATGTACAAAATTCATTGTCACAACTTGCCACAAAAATTTGTTAGTTTGTGTAAAAATCTAGCGGGACAAAAACCTAGCAATAATTTTTATATTAACTTACACAAACGTTCACATAACTTCAAATTTAATTGTATGCCATAAATAAACTGTAATATTAAATAATTCAATTTTTCAAAATATGTGTTTATAATACAAAAATATTGAAAACGAGACATAACGTCACAAAACGACAATATAGAGATGATAATTACATATATAATATATCTTTGATTTATAATTATTTATAATTAACGATTCGAAAATTATAAATGAAAGATATATTTTTTGATTAATAATTTATTAATAATAACATTTTCATGTGTACGAAAAAAAAAAAAAACAAGTTACCTTTTAAATTGCTTCAATTTATATATAAGAATTATAACATACAGCCACAACAACTCCATGCACATACTTTTTCATACAGCTTTAGATATTACAATTAAATATTTTGAATATGCAAACATTATTTATAACATGTAATACACACAATATTATTCCTACTTAATCAACATTGTATATATTTTTTGCAGATCATAACACATGAAAAATTGCAGAAGCAAATATTACATATATTGTGAAATCATGTGAAAAATGATGAAAACTAAAATCTTATGCTGCTGTATGAAATATATACGATTTGGAGTATTCATGGATGACTGTAGCAATGAATGATCTATTTACTTACATATTTAAATTGTGCAACTATATACGAAATATTAAAATCAAAATCTTAAAATTTTGATAAATTATGGTTCTTATTCTACAATATATAAAATTAGGTAAAAAAATATAGCCAATGAAAACTTAGTGATGATTTATTTATAATGACATTCAATGTTTTATGATAGTTCATTTCTTTATTTTTATAAAAAATTTTAATTTTAATATGTAAATTAATTAAAATTATATTTTAAATGCCATTCTTACTTAATCTAAGACATATATACATATATACATATATATATATATATATATATATATATATGTATCAATAGTATTAATTTTTTTATGATGTTATATAATAAATTAGTAATAAAATATAAAAACTTATAGATTTTGACTTTATTAAATAGAAAAAAAAAAGTAGACTAGAAAAATATAACTTTCAATTTTTTACTATATGGAATATATTTAATATTGCTTATTAATGACTTTTTTTTTTTTTGTTAAAACTGAAAGCTAGAAAAAGTTAAATAAAAAATAAGCATAACAAATCAAGAGCGTGATAATAGAAAAGGAAGAAAAATGTAGTGTAAATCTTTGTTCCAATGTATTTTTATAATTCTTACCTTGCATTATGGCTACTGGCTGCCGCGCTGCCGATATAATTAAATAATTTTTTTAATTGTGAAGTATAAATCAATGTATCAATGAATGGAAACAAATGTCAGGAAATGTGTATATACCATGTAGTTCAAGGAAAGACATACGTTCATTATTACAGCAAGTAGTAAAAGAAGTAAAAAATACATATTTAGAACAATCGTTAATCACAAATAGTTTTTTACATTAAGTATGCCTTACCTTTACTAACATAAAATTTTTTACAAGAGTTATAATATTCTTATTCTTATTTCAAAAAATTATTCTAAACAATATAACATAAAGAAAACTATATATAAATTTCTTTCTATAATTTATAAAATATGATTTAAAAAATTGAAAAGCAAAATAAAATGTTATATATTTGATAATAAATATTAAACTAAAGCTGTTAAAAATATCAGTATTTTTGATATTTTTTTCAATCTATTTTTCGCAATATCTTTAAGAATCATAATTTTGAATATGTTGAAGTGTCAAATAATGAGAATAAAAAAAATGTCTAAAAAAGAGAATTGAAATATTATAAATATACCGGAGAGAGAAAAGAAAAGAAAAGAAAAGAAAAGAAAAAAAAAAAAAAAGGAAAAAAAATATAAGTGAAAATATAATTTAATGTGATAAAAGATATGACAAAATATGTCATACATATAAATATGAAATAGAGAAAATAGCAATAACTTTTATTATTTATTAATGATACTAAAAATGTGTGTTTTAGCTTTAAAGAACAAAATAAACTAAGAATATTTGCTACTTTGAAGCTTGCAATGTGGATTGATTTTAGCAAGACATGCACTGATAATAAAATATACCGTATAAATCTGATTATATAAGTTATGTAAGTATAACTAATACTATTATTAAATGTTATATTAAATATAAATTTTTATATTCTGAATTATAATATTTCAGGAAAATACGGTATAAAAAATATTATATATATTGATATAATATTAAATATATACCAATATATATAATTTTTAATTTGCATAAAAAAAATTTTGCAAGCAAACTAAGATAACTAGTATATATAGTTGATGAATTTGTTTAATCATTTTTTATTTTATAAAAAGCTTAAATTAATCATAACGGAACTAATGAGACTTTTTGAAAATATAGTTTTTTTATTAGTAAAGCACACTGTCATTATGAGAACTATACTATGTGTTGAATTTACATTAGTCATGCAATATAAAATTCATTACTGCAATTTAGAAAAGTAATTGCTTTAAAAAGTTCAACATGTATAATTAGAAATAAAACATTTCATTACAATATTGTTATTAAAAAATATTATATCTTTAATAGCAAAAATTATAATTATATTATATTTCTAATTATCAACATTGTATAAATGTAACATAAAATCATTTCATTATTTCATGTTAAAGTAGTTTATATAAACAATAATTCCATGTTAATAAAAATATTATTTACTACATTTATGAAATATTTTAGATTTATTAGATTTATTATATATGTGAAATAATAAACTTTGTAGATATGAACATAGTAAAATCTATAGCTGCAGTCATGAATGTAATAAGAGCAACATATAGCGCTAAATGTGCGATTGTTAAAAATAAAACTGTTCTATTATATTATTTGTTTTGATTTTGCTGAATAGCTACAAAAATGTATAACAAAATGTAGGTAACTTACTTGGCAAAACCAATAAAATCTTCATGATTTGTGTTCATATATGCTAGTTCACAGTCGACCAAGAGTATCAATTGTTCCTTACACAACTGTTCTCGTTGTCTAATATGAGTAGTTATAATACGTTCCGTTTCTTCTCTCAATCTGGGATAACGTGACATCTAATATATGAAGAAAAAAATTATATTAAATATTATTAAAATTTTTTAATTAAAAATAAATTTACCCACCTATCAGTACAAATGCGTACAACATTACTAAGTTCCTGTACAACTAAATCCACGCATTTTAAACTAGGTTCTTTGAGTCTATTGATTTGTTTCTTGACTATTGCCTCAAAGGCCATATCGGGAGTAAATAAACCTACTCTGATACCTATGGCATTATACTATTGTTAAAAACTTATTTTTATAATCATAATAACTTTTGTTTATCTTGATATATAATGAAACTGAGAATGATATCAAAATTAAAATAATCATTTACCATGAATATTTCTGATAGCAAAAGCAATTTCTCTTCTTAATTCTTTCTCATCAAATTCCATTTTGACAATTTCAAATGGAAAACGTTCATGGAATATTCTATTTATTTTTGCACCTCCACTAAGCTCCATTGTATTGATTTGTGCAGATCCTGAACCTTCTATAGTTCTTTCAAAATCTGACTGAAGTTGTTGTATCATCCTTAAAAATATTTTTCTTTCAATTAATATATAATAAATATATACACATTAAACCTTAATGTTAGTTCTATGGGCAGAGAGTCATGATATTTAGTAATGTAAAGCTAAATAATACATGATTCATTAATAACATATTAAGATTTTTTGTTAATGAAATTATTATTATTTTTCACTCTTTGGTTATATAAAAATACATTATGCATTAAAATTTTCATGCAAATACACACATATGAACAAAAATATGATACCTACATAAATATTTGAATTGATCTGAAAAATAAGAACAAATATTCTAAAATGTCAGGACCCTCTACCCAT